CGAGATTCGAATCCAGGACCTGTCAGTCTCGCGCCAGGCGCTTAACCAACTAGACCACTGAGCCGGCCGGCATCCAACGGTGTTAATGTCTAACTTCAACCAGCCGTTGATATTGAATAACAAACTTTTCATCTCACAATTTAATAACATCGAATCTAACTTGAGATATAACCACGAAGTAAATTTAACAAAGAGTTAACGTCATCTGGAATTAAAACAAAACAACCATAAGCATTTAGACTTAATGATATACCTGATAATGGTTTTTTTATACTCAGAGATGAATGTAGCTAAAATGTGACACTACCAAATCATTCTCTTTATAAGTTTATCCTAAATAACCCTATTTTTAAAAAACAAACAGTCATTTGAGAAAAAAAATGTCTCATAGTACTTCAGTTCATAATGTTTTTTTCTTCTTTGGTAATCATAAATAGAATTCAACGTTTCGTTAATACATTTTCAGTAACGGCAATGTTCTCTTTTCTGGTCATTTATATTCAAAACTTGTTTATTTATTTATTTTTCTAACAACAAATATCCAGTTTATGATAATCAAAGTTCAATTTACAATATTCAATTTAACATAAACACACAAGTGTAAAAATATAAAATAAAAAATAAAATTGTAAATTTAAAAAAAAATCCATTTTATTTAGCGCCATTTTTGGTAGAATATAAATTTTATATATTGATAAAATATTGTTATCCATCTTTCAGGTAAAACAATATGTTCATTTAAGGTGACAATAATATAATTAACAGTTTATATGATCAGCAATTGAAATAGAATAGATAGTTCGAGCTTTAGAAAAACAAACAAACAAACAAACGAAAACAATCTATTTTTATGACATGATGGAAGAGTATGCAAATCCCTATAAATAAATAAACAAATAAAGAAAGAAAAAACAACTGAAACTTCATATGTAAAAAAGTCATTAAACTGTGAAAAATTATTTATTATTTTTCTTAAGAATACAGGTGGTCCATTATGCTATGTATATTTATAAGAAATAAACTGTAATAAAAAGATATGTATGAAGAAAACAAACAACAGTACACAGTAGATCTGTTAGAAAATGTCTCATTAGAAATATTTTCAGCCAAGTGAAAGTTTGTAATTCGTATATAAAGTAAGATGTATGTTTTTTATAAAAAAAAGCACTGGTCATGTTGAACCTTACTTACTTACTTACGTTTGTTACTTCTGTTGGGAGAGCATAATACTCTCACTAACATTCTCCGTCTAACTCAGTTCTGAACAATCCTTTACCGTCCATTCCAGTTGTTATTCATTCTATTTATACCTAATTATAAATATATTTTTGTTATATTCCAATGAGTAGTAAAATTATATTTCTGACGTTTCGTGATTTATTGTAAGCCGCTTCTTCGGAGTGTCTATACAACTGACATGAAATTGGTTAAGTCACGAAATGTCAGAAATACAATTTTTTTACTCATTGGAATATAAAAAATATATATTTATTATTAGCTCTCTACCCGATGCTCAATTTAATTGAAACTATCAAGTTCAAACTTGGTATGGATACCTATTGATGTCTGTTTTGAATTCTTGGCGCAGTGTGTTATTTGGTCTTTCTCTTTTCTGTTTACTTTCAGGATTCCAAGTTAGTTCACACCTCGTGATTTAGTTTGATGATTGCCTCAATGTACATCCTATCCACCTCCAACGTCTTTTTCTAAGTTCCTCTTTATGTGGGAACTATATTGTTCTCTGCCACAGCGGGTCATTGGTAATGGTATCCGACCGACGGATCTGGAGCATCTTGTATAGACAATTGTTTATCAATATTTGTACCTTTGTGATGATGGTTGTGGTAGTTCTCGAAGTTACACCTCCGAACAGTAGAACTATCTTGACGTTCATATTGAAGATTCTCACTTTGATATTGGTTGACCGTTGTTTCAAGTTATATTTGTTCTTCAACTGTAGGAATGCTACCTTTGCTTTGCTGATCCTCTCATTTACGTCTGCATCTGATTCTCCACGTTTATCGACGATGCTACCCAGATAAGTGAATGATTCCACCACCTCCAGAGTTTCTCCATCAAGTGCGATTAGGTTGATGTTCTCTGTGTTATATTTGAGGATCTTTCTTTTTCTCTTTTGTATGTTGAGGCCTACTGATACAGAGGCTCCTGCTACACTGGCTGTCTTTATCTGCATTTGTTGGTGTGTATAGGATAGAGGAGCCATGTCATCTGCAAAGTCCAAATCTTCTAACTGATTCCACGCTGTCCATTGTATTCCGTGCTTTCCCTCAGATATTGAAATCTTCATAATTCAGTTGACGGAGAGGTTTCCATGAAGTTCTCCTATCCATGCTGTCAAACGCTTACTCATGGTCAATGAAGTTAATATATAGTGATGAGTGCCACTCGATTGATTGTTCAACGATGATCCGTCTGTGCAAGACCGAACCTTATGGAATCCAGCCCGTTGATCTCGAAGTTGAGTGTCTTCTGAGTCTTTCACCCGGTTCTGCAACAATTTGTTAAAAACGTTCCCTGGTACTGACAGTAATGTGATGCCTCTGTAGTTCTCACATTTGCTCAGATCTTTCTTTGGTATCTTGATGAGGTGTTTTTCTTTCCAATCTGTTGCCACTTGTTCTTCCTCCCAAATCTTCCTGAATAGCACGTGAAGTATACGTGCAGTTACTTCTGTGTCTGACTTTAGAGCCTTAGGTGGCACATTGTCAGGTTCTGCTGCTTTCGCGCTCTTGATTTGTCCGATGGCCATCCTGATTTCTTCTGTCGTTGGTGGAGTGAGATCTACAGGAAGGTCTGTAGGTGCTGCTTTGATGTCCGGTAGTTTCAATGAAGCTGATCTATTCAAGAACTCCTCGAAGTATCCTACCCATCTGTTCCTCTGTTCTTGAATCTCGGTGATTGTCTTGCCTTCCTTGATCAGTCTCTCTGGTTAACTATATTTCCCTTCTAGTTTCTTTGTTGTGTCACATAACTGTCTTATATTTTCTTCTTGTTATTTCGGAAACGCTTATCACTTATACTCGGAACGAGGGGCCTCTGCAATTCCCACGATGTGAAAGTAAGAACACAAAGACTGGTATAAGTGATGATTTATTAACCACAAAACACGACGACGACGACCGTAGTAGAAATTATACTCATTTATATATTGATTGTACACCCATTTTGATTAATAATTAGGATGAAATCACATTTATGAAAAATACTTAGAGTTATAAGAAATCACATACTGAGCATAGTTCATGTCAATGGAACACAAGAATCTCGCATATTATACAGAATAAATTATCATACGAGAAAAGAAAACAAACACTACATTGAGTAATCACTATATTGAATCACAGCGGAAGTAATCTTGAGCAAAACTCATAATGAGTAAATCAATCGTAATTTGACTTTTTTCCATCATATCACTCCTCTTGAAGCTTCCACATATTTCTGCTTGTCAGCTTTAATGCTCTTCTTTACTTGCTTCTTTGCTTGTGTATTCAGCTTGTGCCTTGACTTTCTCTACTCGTGTTTGGCTGTTGTTAATCGCTGTCTTCTTGTTCTTCCTTTATTGAATCTTGTCCAGAGTTTCTGTAGAGATCCATTCCTTATGATGATGCTTGTTGCGACCCGACACCTCTTGACACGTTGAAGTTAGTACTTTTTTGATCCCTTCCCAGTTGTTTTCCATAGTATTTTCTTCTCCCAGCAGATCCTGTAAGGCTTGAAAAATGCTGATGAGAGTTGTCTTGAATTGGCTGAGTTTTTTAATATCTCGTAGAAAGGCCATAATTGATTGCAGCCTCTCATAGAACTGTTCTTCGTCATTGCTATCATTAGAGGGTGCATAATATTGGACAATATTCATTGTGATTTCTTTCATTTTTGATTTGAATGATGCTGGATGATCCTGGATCCATAAGATTCCTATTCAATAAGTGCTTTACGTGCATCTTTGGAAAACATTAAAACAACGTGATTGTGTAGAGCATTTTCTTCCTCGTGACCAGAGTACAGCAGCATCTCTTCCGTACCTAACTTTTGCTTTCCAGTTTAGATCCAATGGGTTTCACTTGCTCCAAGAACTGTCAAATTGTATCTCATCATTTCCGTTACTATTTGACTGGTCCTTCCGGTCATGTTGAATCATACACTACATGATTAACATGTTTATTTGATTTTGTTTCTTCATCTAAACTCAGAGTCGATTTTTTCATAAAACAACTATTATTCACTATCAAAAAAACTCATTTTAAAAGGTCATGATCAATTTTCTTTTAATAATCAAGTAGTTCAGTCAACTTCTATGTCGATTATATACAACAAGGGCTGATTAGTGATTTGCAATGATAAATTATATTAATCAATATATTTATTTTTTTAATTAGTAAATAAACTGATTAAACCCAGCAACTTAAATAACTTTACACAGTTTTCCTCTGATATGTAATCCATACTATTTCATGATCTCAATCAAAAACTTAATAGTCTCCACAACCCCTATACTAGCAATTAACATGTGCTCACTAGTGACTAGCTTCGTGAGGGAATTCTCGGAGTTCTAGTGAGAAGCCGTGACCAGTGGAGCTAATCCATATCGGGTAGAGACAGGTATCTACTTCAGTAGAATGGAAGTTGGTCGCGCAATTTCGTGGATTGGTTGATGTTAGACACTATCACCATTGGATGCCGGCTCAGTGGCCCAGTAGGTTAAAAGTTCGCCCGCGAGACCGAAGGCCCTGGGTTCGAATCCCGCGGGCGGGATCTTGGATGCACACCGCTGAGGAGTCCCACAATAGGACGAAGCGGCCGTCCAATGCTTTCAGGTTTCCATAGGTGGTCTAAGATCAACCGGCTCATGATCTCAATCAAAAACTTAATAATCTCCACATCCCCTATACTAGTATACTGTTTCCATTGTATATAAATATACATTTTTATCAAATTATTTATTTATTTATTAAAGTATCCTTTGTAATTATTAATTTTAGATTTAATTCAAAAAAATATTGGAATAAAATTCAAAGACAATGATAATAATAATTTTTCGCAAATGATTATTATGCCAAAAACATCTTCAATTTATTTAGTGAAAAATCGGTAAGTATCGTATAATTATAAATGTATTAAAATAAATATGAATATCTAAAATTGATTCAGTTTATTAAGGGCGTTAAAATATTCTATATATATATATATAGGAAAGGACTCAGTAGATAAGTGGTTAACCCGATGTCCTTTAAAGTAAACGGTACTGGTGTCGAGTTCCAGAGTGAACATCAACTCTTTGATACAGGTAAATCCAGCTGAGTCCCAAAATAGGACGAAACACGCGTCCTGAATTCCACTGTAAGACACTATCCATCTTTGCTTATAATGCCTGTAAATTAAGTCAGTATCGAGGCAATCCGCAAAAGATGCGCATATTCTAATAAGAGACTGATCAATTGCAGTCCTAATAATCAATTGAAAGTTTCAAGTAAACAATACCAAGTGAATTTATATATATGATATATACCACTGAATAGTAAAAATTAGGTTGACAATATGATTACAAACGACGATATTTTATTAAACTTTAAATAAAGCTCTCAATATAACTTCGGAGTCACACATTTTATTTAGCTAGCGTTGAATTGTAGCTATTTAATTTTGTTCAACAATATAATCATCCATAATAATACAGTTAGATGTTAGTGGTGAATAAGTAATAAAAAAGTAGATCTATAACAGTTTGATACATAGGTTTGTTAATTTTTAGTGACTATAACTACTAAGATGTCTGGAATGATTATATCTAAAATGACCAATGGTCCACTAACATTCGTCTAATACATTTATGCTTGTTACTATGGTACGAACATACTTAAATGGTAATACTATATTTGGAAATTCTATTATTAGTTCTTATTAAACCATTGTATAGTAACAAACATGTGGTTTGAAATATGCGAACTTACTAAATACAACCTTTCTGGTCTTTTGAAATTCAACATGTTAAAAAGTGGTCATACAGTAAGACATAAACTTTATGATTTTTTTTTTCCACAAAAGTTAGAAATTACTTGTTTTCACGAGCAAACTCAGAACTAAGAAACTTTCAAAGATTTTCATTGAAATTAAAAGTTATTTATTTATTTTCTCCATCATAAGAAAGATGAAAGAAAGCACATGGAGTTAGAAGCTTTCCTGAACTTTACTAAGGACATTAATCAGTTTGAAGTTAATTTGAGTTATATTATTACCGTTAACTTAAGTCTTCATCGTATGTCTTATAGATGAATGAAACGTTCTACTGTCTTGAAAATGCTTCTCTAAGCTTTACAAATAATATCATTGAGGTTTAAAAATTGAGTTTGATATACATCAGACTGGAAATTTTGTAAAACATCAGAAAAACCATATATTCAGCAATTAACTCTTAAATAATTTGTTTTTATTTAAATGTCGCTACACAGAGTAGTTTCTGGAACATTAAATTAGTAACTAGCAGGTATACCGAGTTTGTAAAACTCACTTTCAAAAGCAAAAAACTGATCCATTAGTGAAACTGGGTTTTCATAAATTTTAGAAATAAGTTCATATACAATACCTTTACTATGATCATTCAAGCGAAATTATTTATCGTTGGGTTTGCTATAAACTACGACATGATGGTATGTAAATGGATAAGGAATTAAAATAAATATTATTAATACTAATATTAACAGCTGTCTACGTAATTTTATTGTTAAACTTGCTATCCCATGACCATTTTTACTAGCGTATTGTTATATAAAAGAAACTGATTGCTATGAGTATGATGTTTATTGTTAAATAAGGTAGACATAAACAGTTCATCTGTATCTTGATCGTTAAATAAACATCACATATCATCTGAAAAGTTTGAAGTTATACTACTATTAAAACTAAAGGATTTACTGTAATACTTGTTAAGCGAAACGATTTATAATAACAAAACGGTGAAATGTGGATTGTGAAGATTTCTAGGGGAAAATAAAATTTAACCATGTTTCTAAAGAGTAAATACTCCTAAAATAAGTCGTAAAGTATATACTCATTGTCTAAATTATTTTAGCTTCACTGTAATAATATATTCATTTAAACTTTAAACTAAAAAACGACCAGTCTAATAGTTTTAACAGTAAAAGGTTGTGGAGATTGTTGATTTTCGTTGAAGTCATGAACTGATCAATGTTAAACTATCATTGAAAATCTGGAAAGAAACGGCTGTCTAGTGCTTCTAGGTTTTCAATGGTGGTCTAACATTGATCAGTCTATAGTTTCAATGAAATAGTAATTTTATGTTTTTGAGGTGTTATGAGGATAAATTTTAAACATCATTATTCAAGTATTATGTATTGCCAAGTACTTTAGTCAAATCTCTTCTATATTAAAGAAAAATATACTGAAATATGATACAAAATAAAATATGAATGTCAGGTAACTTAAATCTGTTTCTTTATAGTCTATTTTCTTTATCTACATAACTGTATGGTCTAGTCAATTTATTTTATTTAATAATTTTTTACAACTAAACTTGTGTCAAAAAGGCATGCTGTGAAAAGTGTCTTTAGGTGGTAATCTTGGCCCACCTACTGAGGGACATAGAGGTACTTTCGCTTAGCGCATCAACATTCAAAAATAACTAAGTAAATTAAGTACGACACAGCAATATTACAATCTTATATATCATAATTTGTTATATAGTAAAATTATTTAGGCTTCATCAAGAGAGTTTTAGAAGCCAATTCAATGTCAGAAATATTATTTCCAATACAATGAAGTAACATAAAACATTTGGCGCTATTTCATTTAATATATATTGATATATTGACCAAGTAAATAGCATATGTAATAATGATGATCTTCTTCTTCTTCTTCAGAAAGATGATGAATACTGTTTAGTCTTGGCTATAAATTCGATATAAATAGGGAAACTCTGAATGATGATATGAATTAAAATCAACCATCAGACTTCTAGAAATTTGAGTTTCAAGGTTATTTTCATAGTAGAATATGGGAGAACCAGTTGTACATTTAACAACATGACTAACATTTCTTTAGTGTTGTAACAAGAATGACCAAATCTTGCATTTAATAATTTTCAGAACTGTCGTTTCTCACAGAAATGAAACTTAGATATTGTAAGTCATGCATCACGTTCTGTAATGCAAATGTATATCGTTTATTATCTTAAGAGCTGTGTAAACATAATGCCTCAATATTACATGGAATTCATCGGGGCCTGTAACCCAACAATGTAAATGTTTGCAGAAAATACATGTTAAAGATAGTGAGACTCGTTTCTAGCTAAGCTAGAGCGTTAAACGTAAATATATTTCTTGTTATACCATTACATTAAATGTCTGGACAGATATCTATCTAAATACAATTTAAAATAAAATAGTATTTACACTTAATTATCAGTTGGAAAACAAGTTGTATTGATTAGATATTTCCTCATGTATTAATGTTCTTTCAAATTACAACCAGAATCATTTCCAACTTCACCTATATTTTATTCTCAATGACAAGTTTTAAACTACCAATGATTGAACGAATAACCAACTATTTTTATTACTCCGTTCATAGTTACTGCACTACAAATTTATAAATCTATACTTCATAGATGTAAACTTAAACAATAGTTCAAAACCAGCTAACTCATTCAAATTATCAATGTTTTTATAAATGAATTCAATATAAAATTAATATGAAGCTCATTACTCTAACATTAAATTATTCAAATATAGTTCTCATGATTTTTACTTTTGCTTACACAAACATATCTTATTCATTATATATCTAGGTTCTTACAATCTATGTATACAAACTAAGTAATGAAAAAACCTAACATTCATGATAATGCTATTATTGTATTCAATATTATAATGGTTATATCGCCTAGATGAATACAGTAACCAACGCTATGTACTTACATAATAATAATAATAATAATAATAATAATAATAATAATAATAATAATAATAATAATAGTCAGTAAGAGGTTCTTTGTTTCAAACTATGACTATAACCGGCCGGCTCAGTTCTCTAGTGGTTAAGCGCTCGCACGCGAGACTGATAGGTCCTGGGTTCGAATCTCGCGGGGTGCGGGATCGTGGATGCGTACTGCTGAGGAGTCCCATACTAGGACGAAACGGCCGTCCAATGCTTCCAGGTTTTCCATGGTGGTCTAGCTTCAATTGAACCATGATTTCAATCAGTGAAATTTCTAAAATCTCCACAAACCCTTACGGACTATAACTATTTATTGAAAAATTAAACTCAGACTTAAAAACATCATAAAGTCATCTGTTAGCACTAAATATTTTTATTGTTTGTTTTTGTTTTTAAACCAAAAATTAAAATGAATTTGATATCATGTGTCTGCATCAGTTTCTTTCAAGTTTGACTATCCAAAACATTTCAGTTTTCAGCAATGAATTATTTAGAATAGACATAACTATTTATTAATAAAAACATAAACAAGTTTTTGTGGCTTATATATGCATTAGGTAATAAAATTTTTAAAAAAACATAATCAAATTTGATTTGTTTTACTGAATGTCACTTTTTCTATAAATGGATCATAATCACTAACTAGTCAAGAATGAAAATGAAGGTTATTGGAAAACGAACATTGTTATATGTCTAATTGCTATGAACATGTAATATTTACATGGATTTTTTATATCTGAGATTATTTTGTAATTATCAGTTGAAACAGGGCACAAAAATAACATTAATACAGTTTTTAGAAGGTTGCATAGAAAAATGGTCAAGGATGAATTCTCAAATTTATTAAAGCCTTAGCTATTCGTAAATTTAACCCCTAACCCATATGTGTACAAAAACAATTTGTCGTAACCTTGAATTTACCCTGGTAATCCTTAAGTCATTCTATGGCCTAGGATAACGCGACAATTTCTTATTTATTTTTATACGATGCAAAATTGTTTCTCTCCACTTTGTTACTTTTTACTTGAACTTTCATTTAATTGGCCTTCATTAATTTTTATATAAAATGCCCTGACAAGTAAATGTTTTTATCAGAAGGGGTTTGTGGAGATTTTTTTAGAAATTTTCACAGATTAAAATCATGAGTCAGTTGAAGCTAGACCACCATTGAAAACCTGGAAGCCAGTAGGTCCTGGGTTCGAGCCCCGCGTAGTGCGGGATCGTGGATGCGCACTGCTGAGAAGTAAATGTTTGACCAGATTGTTTGAAATGTATAGTGCAAATACATCACATTTTTCATATCAATTCCATCTTCTCATTGTTCTATCGAAATTTATAAAAGGGACTAATTGCTTTAGATCATAAGATAATCAAAGTGAAGTATAGTAAATAGGTTGTTTTTTGATAACAAAATTAGAAAATAGTTTATATGTAACTAATATTCTATTCGACTGGTGACTACAATAGTTGAGTGAATAATTTGTTAAAAGAATGATGTCCCGAAACTTATCTCGGTAGTTAAGAGAAACAAATTTTGATCATTTACTAACTGGATGAATGAATAACTAGATACTTAATTCGGATAATATGATAATAAATTACTTTTCAGATAACTACTAGCTAATCAAAGATGAAAATGAAGGTTACTGGAAAACAAATATTGTTATATGTCTAATTGCTATATACAAGTAATATTTACATGGAGTTTTTATATCTGAGATTATTTTGTAATTACCAAATATAATACTGATTAAAGGTGATAACAAATCACACGGTATTTTCATTCAACTATATATGATTGCAGTAGATTGTCAAATCATAGTAGAATGTGGTCGGTAGACTTGGAGGAAAAATATTACTCACCTTTCAGGCCCTATAGTACTAGAGAAGAATGTTGTTAATAGTACCATTGATAATAACCATTAAATGTATCGATTAATGTGAAAACTTCTATGAGTTGATGTCTGTTATTTCTTTTTCCAACTAAAATGGTCGGAGCCATGTTATGTAATATTTGAATGACCACAATTCCCTCATGTTTGCCGATTTAATGTGCAAAATAATCTATATTGGAGCATCTTAATATATCATATTTTACATCGCTGTGAAATCGTCACAGATCTAGTGACAATCTAGATTAGCATGAGTAAGAGCAGTCTGTAACTTATTCAGTGATCATTATATGTTCTAAACAGTAAAACATTTGAGAAAGCCATGTAAGTAGACTATATTATGCATTTCGGTGACGTCTCTGACTGTAAAAGTGATTCAGACACAAGGAATTCTAGACGAATCCCAAGTCTATTAAGATTATGGTCTCACCTCGTTATCAGCTGATATGTAAACCTAGTACAACCTAATGCATATCCTATTCGGAAATCTAAAATCTAAGATAAAAAATCATAATAGCATGTTACATGGCCTAATAAAGTTATTGAAAAGTATATCAACATAATTTGATTTTCATCAATAACTAAATGCATGAGAATAGGCACTAGCTAATGAGTGATTTGTTGTATAGAAAAAATAAAAAAGGCTTATACGTCATTATAAATGAAAAATAATATATCTGTAATATCCCAATGAGTAGAAAATTAGATTTTCTGACGTTTCGTGACTTAGTGTAAGCCACTTCTTCAGAGAATAAATAACCAAATTAAAATTAGTTCAAGTTTAAATAGTACAACGGAACAATGCAAGAGTAATATTGGATCAATCAAAAACAGGTCTGAACAAGTTGATGTCATGTCATTTCTGTCAAGGTGATTCATAAGTGATATGTATGTAAATTTGTGTGTGTATGTATGTGTGCATTGTTTAAGAATGAAAACTTGTGTGCCCTTCATGGTAAGAAAGGATAGAGTTTAAATTTGCAATATGATAGTGTGAAATTGTAAATACGATCAGACTGAATGGTTAGGATAGATGGTCCAAGTAGGATGTATGGTAAGGTCTTCTTTTCTATTGAGAGAAGTAGGATTAAGCATTATATGGAACGCCTCAGCTACTCTCCTTTCTTTGTAGTTGGAAAAGCCTTTTTGCAATATTTTGATATTTTTAAAATCGATTTGGTGGTTGTTGAAAATGGCCTGAACTGCTATTGCCGATTTAATTTGAAGTTGGTTCAATTCTACAGGGTTGTTAGGAGGTTTCTTTGTGTACCTAATATGTTCTTTGGCTGTAGTCAAGATTTCGCGGGATGACTCTCCAATATAATAGGCATCACAATCGATACAACCTAATTTGTAGACGCAGTTCTGTGTGGACATGAAAGGGATTTTTTCTTTCAGGCGAACTAAAGTATTACGTAGTGTGTTCGTTGTTTTGTAATATACTTTAATTCTGTGATGTTTTAAGATTCTTTGGATTTCTTCTGTTGTGCCATGACGGTATGGTAGAACTGCAATACCAATCCATGGCATTTCATTCGAATCATTAATATAGAAAAGAAGGCCTTACCATACATCCTACTTGGACCATCTATCCTAACCATTCAGTCTGATCGTATTTACAATTTCACACTATCATATTGCAAATTTAAACTCTATCCTTTCTTACCATGAAGGGCACACAAGTTTTCATTCTTAAACAATGCACACATACATACACACACAAATTTACATACATATCACTTATGAATCACCTTGACAGAAATGACATGACATCAACTTGTTCAGACCTGTTTTTGATTGATCCAATATTACTCTTGCATTGTTCCGTTGTACTATTTAAACTTGAACTAATTTTAATTTGGTTATTTATTCTCTGAAGAAGTGGCTTACACTAAGTCACGAAACGTCAGAAAATCTAATTTTCTACTCATTGGGATATTACAAATATATTATTTTTATTTACAACAATTAACCCAATGCTCAATTTATTCGAAAATATCAAATCAAACCTTGGTAATGATACCTACAAATTATACATCATTAGATCTCGGCTGAGTGATCCACAGGTTAAGAACTCGCACGCTGCACTAACGGTCCCGTTCCTGATCACGAGTTCGAGGAGTCCCATACTAGGACGGAACGGTTTATTAGTTTTCAGTTGTTGTCTAAATTGGTTTGCGATTTTAATGAAATCTCCCCAACCAATACTGATTGAATATTGTAAATATATACCTTATGTGGAAGAATATTCTGCAACAATGATTGTGACAACAGTTCAAACAGCCAGAAACAAGTGATTACATAACGAGTAAACTCTGATAGGAATAAAATGAGTAGAGCTCAGTTGATAAATTAAAATTACTAATTTAGAAGACAGTTGAAATAAAACTCAATGATGTAATAAGTCCAACTATTGAAATTACTAAAATCTCCACAACGCCTCTTCTGATACTAATCAACATATGCTCACTAGTAACTGGCTTCAAGATGTATAACCTGGAGTTCTAGTGAGAAGCAGTGACCAGTGGAGTTCAACCAAGTCAGTTGTGAGATAGTAACTCACTGATGACAATAGTAGATGTGTCGCCCAATTTCGTGGGTTAGTTGAAGTCAGACATCTGGTTGTTTTTGCATTCAAATGAGTGAGTGTTTATGTACAAAAACGTCATAATATGACTACATAAATATTCGCAAGAAGTTGTTTAGAACTCTTTATAGTGAAATCTTGCCTTTAGTAAATGCATGCAATTCGTGGTTCCGACAAAGAGTATGATGAGTTTAGAGTAGTTAGTGTGCAGTAGAATCCTCGTTTAATAAGATATCATATAAGACTGTTCAATCAAAGCCTTTTTCTTTAAAATCCCTTTTTTTCTATTTTAATTTAGAGGAACTCTGTTAAAGTTAGACATGACGACATTCGAACAACATGATAAATATACACTACCGACGTCATTAAAGTCTATGCCAGAATGCAACGATTCTGTGAGTTTTATATCATATCTATTTTGGTTACCAGTGTAGATACTGTTCACTTTATTGAACTTGAATATAACATTACTATTTCATTATAAATATTGCTACACATCATTTATGGTTCAAAATCAGTTTATGGAGACGTTTTTTACGATCAATAAATATATGTATAGTAACATTATTTTATAAGATGTTAAAAATCTAACGAATGCTAAGTTTGTTAACTTTTCTATTACTTTTGTGTCAGATAATATCTGAAGTTATTAAGTTGCACTACCCCTAGAACTCTAATTGAGGTTAGGGACGGACTTACTGATACCAGTCCGACTCAACGAATTAGTGTCATGAACTGACCTCTCCGTCGTAGATTGACATGATCAACAGACTATTCATGATTTCACGCAGCGTAGACTGATCTCACTTTACCACCTCATCACCATTTTTCACATATCTATCTAGATAAACGAACAATTCAACTATTTTCAAGGGCTTACTGCAAACAATGAGTGCAGATTCTTGTCATTCTTGGGAAGGAAGATTTTCACTGTGCTTGTGTACAGTATATTTCATACTTACGTACACAAATCGCCCACTGATTATGTGCTACAATGGTAGCCTGGGTTTGTTTGTCGAATTATCTTTTACTGGTCAACAGATTTATATCACCATACGTACTCAGTTCATTTAAAGCTGTGTAAAAAATGTTTTTGGTATTGAAATGGAAAGTGAATGGTTAAAAAAAAGTTAGAACAATAAAAAGATAGCTGTATTTCTTCTCTCTACCTGCAACATTTGTGTACAGAACTATTGAGGTGTTGATAAACTTCTCATCTACGCCCTAATAAAGACATTCTCAAGGTATAGTCTGGACATGCAAATCAAAGGCTGTTGAGGATCCCCTAAACAGACCCAACCTACTCTTGACGAGTTCCACTAGTTCGACGGAGTATGATAGAGACTTTTGATTATTAAACAGTAGAACACAGTGTTATATCTTAATAACGATTACATAACCTGCTTACTCTGTTTTGAAATTTGGGAATGACTGTCCTAGTATTCCAGGAATATGGGACACTTTCCGTATCCTGAATCTTTACAAACATTCCAGCCAGTTCCTAAATTAGAAGTTCTTCACCGTCACAGAACAGAAGAGAGAAGAAGATAGTTTGTATTTCAGGATGTCCAGTGTTTAGGAAGTTAGAGGTTCTCACTTAGGTCTACTTGGTCGGGTTGATCGGTAGTCACCGGCTGATAGACCACAGGGCCATCTGTTAGACTTTGTTTGACATTTAGCCCAGTTGAACTTTCCTATGTTTTGCTTTATTCATAGCTCAAAACATCTTTGAAGGTCACTCATTGGCATGTCCTGACTGATTGTGTCACTGAACTTCGGTATGCTGAGAACGCTTCTGAAGGTTATCATATTGCTTCTAATTCATTAGCACCCTCTGATTGCCAGCATTCGGAGGCCGTTTGAAGTAAATCTTCAGACCTATCACTGAATAATAAATTATGCTTTGTTTAATGGTCCTACAGTAGTTACAGAATAAGAAGTATGAAATACAAGCTTTCGTTGTTCAGACGTAATAACTAGACAATGTTTACTTTTGATAGACCATGATAGTTTTTAAACCATATCAATTTAACCTCAATCAAGCTAGTAATGAATCCGAAATGTTTACAAATAAATTAGGTTATCCTATGAAGGGTTTTTATGTTTTTGCATTAGAAATAAAAGCTGTACAAAACTTAACAAGTTATTCTTTTTTACATACAAAACCCAAAAGAAACTGATAAACAACTAATTCCGTGAGAAAATGTGAACACGAATAACCAAGGTAACGTAATAGAAAGATTATAATACTAGATTATGTAACACGAATAATAACAATAGATTTGGTGAATATAATGAAATGACTAAAATGTCATAGAGGTGTGAAAATAAATAAATTGATATGCTAATAATAATAATAATAATAATAATAATAATAATAATTTATACATTCTGAAAATAATAATAACAGAATCCACGCCAGTTTACAGGCATGATCAATTTGATATAAATAGTAACATTGATGTACAGAGCAAACATGTGATAGAAGAAAGTTTTAAGTATACTAGTTCAGTGATTGTTTAGGTAGTACATGTATTACAGCGATCCAATGCATCAGCCGTGAATTTTTAATATTTCTTAAATAGACAGCCTGTTGATTTATGAACGGAGTAATTAAGGTCATTTCGTGTACCAGATCGAATTAAAGATAATTATCTACAACTCGAGAAATTACAACGAAAACCGAGAGCACGGAACAACAAAGCAGTAATTACCGAAATATATGAATCAGGTCTACCTAAATGCGTGTGTCATGTGACACAGTGATATACTGTTGGTGTTATTCAAATTAGTTAAACATGCTGGGGACGGTGTTAACATAAAGTGACAACAAGTAGTTGGTTTTACTTAGGGAATGCACTAATAAAGATGGCTAAACATTTAAAGTTCCTATAATATCACTTGTGGAATGAGATACACTTACAGGTGCTGAAACATTCAATACATCGATGCAGCGAACAAATAATGGGAGTGATTTTATCGTACGGATAGATTGTGGTAGGTTATTTCAAAATCTAGAAAAATTGCAGTTGAATTAATTCATATAAAGAGATGATTTAGAATAAGTTTATTTCACTAGTGTAAAGGAATTACCGATGTAATAATGAGACGTATCTGCATATTGAATCACGTGGCTGGATGTAAAGGATAGTTTATTAAGTAGTTTGAAGAAAAAGATAAGGTTTAGTTTCCTCTTCCATAAAGGGTCTAGCCCAAGTTTATAACATCTAGAATGAGTATTTATGAATAAAATAATGAGAATATAAGACATAAGTAAAGGGGAATGCAGTAATAATAATAATAATAATAATAATAATAATAATAATAATATTATTATTATTATTATTATTATTAAGGCCAAGGTAACGATAACGATAAAACATACTTCTTTTGTACGCATAGTTCTGGTTTGAGTTCATGGATGGTAAGAGCTTCATCTATTTTTAGGAGTTGGATACGAAGAAATCTAGATAGATTTGAACGAATCATATAAACAACCTTAAAATGAAACTATTGATCCGTAGAATGATTACAGTCGATTAGATGTTCAAGTATAGAACTCCTAAGTGCTTTCCTTTCACCCTTGTACAACCAAACTTTTAACATATTGAGGAATATGGCACAACAACTATCTATTGTTGAATTATTTATTCTGAATAGTTCCAGTATTTTAAAAAAAATGTATTTTTCACTTTCTCAAATCTTAAATAAGATAATCTATAAACTTATCGTTTATTCATTAAAGAAGACGAATGTATTTGTAAAATCTCAGCGAAAGAATTTGAAGTGAATCCAACATTTCGCCTGGCAATCTGATCCAAGTTTATTCTTATTTCATAGTTTCATAAACGTTAGCAAACAGATTATTTATATTCACCAGAAGAACTTTTTACTAACAGTCTATTGAGATAGCATGTTTTTCAATAAACATTACATTACATTAGCTCTATCTTTAGTTAATTTTTTTTCTTTTTAAACAACAAGAATAACTAAATTATTGCTGAAAGTGAAAATTAAATGTATTCGAAACAAACGACAACAACAATAACAAAAAAAAGAGAATAACAGGGAATTACCATATTAAATTTGTGTCCAATTTAAAGAGAAAAAAAAACACATTGTGATAGACAAGTGTTAATCTAATAACCTTATTAATTGTATATAGTTTTATTAGGTTGTAACGTCTGTATTAGTTAGTTCAATTTATTTTATTTAACAGAACAATGAAAAACCATATAGACATAAATCGGTGAACTGGTTTTAAGAAATACTATTCACTGGTCAGTAATTATAATAAAGATATAAATCAAAATCAAGCATTGAACATCTATTTTATATTTGTCTAATATGATGTATATTTAATTCTTTTCATTAATCTCAATATCTTTTACAAGTTTTACAGCGTATATTTTCCACTAGATTAACGAACTTACAGCAGTCAGATTATAATAAAATTGAGTCAATGTTTGTTAGTGTTAGCTTCTATAAATGTTTATAACAATTTTATAATTTTATTAGTTGAGATCATGAGTCAATTGAAACTAGATCATCATGGAAGATCTGGGAGCACTGGAGGGCTGTTTCGTTCTATTGTGGGACTCTTCAGCAGTGCAGATCCACGATCCCGCCTCGCGGGATTTGAACTCAGGATTTATTGGTTTTGCACACGAACGTTTAACCACTAGATCACTGAGCCGGCATCACATGGTGTCAATGTCTAACTTCAACAAATTCACGAAATTGAGCGACACATTCACTAATGTCTTCAGTGAATTATTATCTCACAACAGACTCATGATCTCAATTATTAAAATTTCTATAGTATCCACAAAAAACCCCATCTGATAATAATTTTATAATTATACAACTGAAGAGTTCTAGAGTTTCAGATGTTTAGAAGCTGTTTCTTCATGTTAAAATCACCGAAATATCCAAAAAACCTGAAGAATTATTTCTGCACTTATAATGCAATTAATTAGTGAATCCTTCACTAATAGAAGAACAAAATATAAAAATATTCGGTTAAATAGTTTTCAGACAATGTAGTAGTAAGTAGAAATGGAATTTTGCACTTTATTGGTACTAGGAATTACAAAATAACTTAGAGATGTATTTAACCAATACAAATAAGTTAAATCATCAATTAACAATTTTGTTTTATTTAAATGAATATCTTAGCACAAAAAAGAGATATCTAGTATCTAAAATGTAGGAAATCATAGTGATTAGTTGTAATTAAACTGAACAATGAACTCTATCTTTATTTGAACGTTTATCAACAAAGCAATGGAAAGTTTCAGGTAAATTTCCCCACATACTTATGAAAAATAAATGTTAACCCAGCAACGTTGCGATTTACATTAAGATAACATTCTCAAATGAATAAATTTAATCATACGTTTGGTATTAAATAATGTGCTTTTTTTCTCTTTCCATACTGTGTTCTTCACACATTTGTCTTAGTCGCTATTATTGCTACTAAATTATTTCGTTCTCTTCATTATTCTTGTTTTTTTCTTCATTTCGTCAATTTAATTTGATATGGCAATTTGGGCCAACACACAGCTGTACCATGCATTAGGTTGATTATATCTGACTGACTCAATGCTTTAACAATATTTGTTGACAATTTGTTGCAAAACATATCTTTTCATCTTTATTGACCAATTTTTACACATGTAAAAGAATGCTGAGGCTCAATATACTGGATCTCTGATAAGAAGATAACTACAAAGACATGTTCTCAAGTAACCTGAATTACGAGACTCCTAAGATCAAAAAAATCTTACCACATTTGCTGTCCATTATCATGCTATTATTTCAACAACAAAAAATTGTCCTAAGTATTGTCAAACTATCAAACACAATTTTCGGAAAATTTCATTTCATCAACATGTGTGTTGATGGAAGGTAACACCTCTTCAAATATCGCGTAGTATACTCATAAAATAACTGTGTAAAGAAACGTCTAAACAACACTATGAGTTTTAAAATGTTTTAATTTTATCATAAACATGTAACTGAATATTTTATACTGAGTTTATAAAAAGTGAATTATTTGAGTCTTTTTGTGGTGTGTACTACTGATGTCGACAGATATAAGTTGTAGTACGTGAAATACTTGGAAGCAGAAGATTAAAGGTATTGAAGGAAAAAGAACGAGAACAGAGAATGATTGCTATGGCAACAAAGGAACAATGAAGTTTGAAATCATTGACTGATATTTTGCAAATGAAGTATTTACTGTAATTTCGTGTTCAAATACATTCAATTATTCTCAATTGTGTTCTCCTTCACTACACTTTCATTGTATAAATCGACTACAATCTATGGCTTATCATACTTGAACAGTCGTTCAAATACTTTCAAAATATACAATTCTAAAGTAATTTAAACAAGTTTTTTCTCTGGTTTTCAAGTTTTTTAGTTTTGTTTTTTCTTCTTTTTGGTCATTAATGTCAAATTGAACTAAATACAATTTGATGAAGTGACCTAAATTCAAATTTTATATGTTGTTAGCTTAGTAATAAATATATTAATTTTTTTCCTTATTTTTATTTAAAGCTTTACCATTTTAATAAATAACTTATATCTTGATTAGAATTAAATATACATTTCAATATTTAAACTATTAGATGAAGTTATTTCTTTTCATGAATTCTAGTTCCTTTACCAGATACAATTTTAGAAGGTATCACCTTGTAGACGAACGGATAGTTTCTTTAATTTATTTTTTGTTAAGAATGTATTTTGAATGGATTATTAATTTTTTTTAACGTACATTCAATGGATTGTGGTGGACCAAAATTTATAATAACTCAGAATTAACAATAAAGTTATAACGTTCAAACATTAATATAATAGTATACAAATTATAAGTTATAAACACAAACAAAAGTTAAAGGACGTTACTTAAGTCAGCAAGTTGGTGCGTGTTCCGTTGCGTTTGGTTCCAGAATCCACAATTATAAATAATTAATAGTCCCAGTGAGGTTGTTATGATTCCAGTAATATAGTCAAGCGTAGAATATAAAGGAAATGTCGTCGCTGTCTATAAATGTAGATCATAGATGTTTCAGAATTCAGTTAACGTAACCACAAGCAACGGAGAACAAAAGATGTGTGTATAGTAGTGTATTTACGAGCGGTTAACGACGTGTTACTCAACGGAAGATTGTGTGTTCAAGGTCATACACTTAAACAACATGTACAATCATTTTGTGGTAAATGTACAAGTTGAAATTTTTATGGTTTCCAAGACTGATATCTCCTTGCCAGATGCTAGTTTAATTTGACTCACTTAAGGACTTTTTTCCACTGATCCCCTAATTGGTTTTTAGTCTGCTGCTTTTTATCTGACTGCCAAAGAAAACGAAGAGCTACTAGTATCTACATAATGTCTATTAAAGTTTCCTCAAAAATGTCTAGTTTTTATCTTAATTCGTTTCATTTTATCATTTGTAATTTGTAGTGGTCATGTCACTCAATGAAGGAAATCAGTTTACTTGCTAAAATGCCTGATGAACGTATGATATGGATCTGCTATGTGACTCATCATTCTCACGAAAATCGTCCTAATCTACTTGCAGAAAGTGGTTGCATGGTCCCGACGGTAAGTAGTATCTCTCTGTAGTTAATTAACCCCCGAAATGGATTTTTGTTTAGATTAGCAGTGATTAAATGAAACAGTGTTTTAAGTATTGTTTTACTTATATGAATCATATTCTTACCATTTTGACAAACTTTTTCAATCAGTTGTCACAACTAATCATTTGATTCACAAATCAATTGAAGATGTCACTTGACACATCTCATAACAGTTACCCAGGCTTTGAGATTTTATCGCGTTATAACTTACGTTTCTCAATTTGATGCTCTGAATTGTAAATATATTCGAAGCATTCCATAGTTTTCATCTGTAAGTATACAAATGTCAAAATATATTTTTGATTTACTTGAAGTGATTTAGTTGACTTGGCTGTATCGCTTATTTATTTCATATTTTATTTATCTTCATTTGTCAGCTAATAGACATCTGAAAGTCATATAATTGTCTAATATTAAATCGATACGTCTGTGAACAATTATCCGAGGCTGCAAAGACTGATCTAATGTCGACTGTATCACCCATTGCAACCAATTTTTTCTCACTGAAGGAAGTTATTTGCTTATCCTATGCTCTTATTTTTAGCAACTAAAGTATTTGTTCAGCAATTCTTAGATGCAGATCTCCGTTGCTTTTATTCATGTGTGTGTCCATACACATACAAGTTGATGTGCGTAGTATGATGAGGTACAATCATTGCAATCGGTCTGGATTTTCACTGAAGCATTGACCTTGACTATTCAATTATGATTAATTGGATTGCGTGAAAGGTACTTGTGATCGCTAATTTGTTTTCGTTTGAATATAAGACTACTTGAATCACCACTGAAAAGTAAAATGAAGTTAACATATTTTCGGCCCAAAAATCGTAATACGTTTCGTCATATGGCTGCTTTGTAGTAAGCCCATTCAACTACCGTATTATTTATCTGCTCTCTGTAATTTATACACTTAATCCACCATGTAAATTTCTGTGTGAGTATGATTGAGCACATTTCTGCACATCAATTTTTAATCTTTTCTCCCATCAGTTGTAATACACAGATAATCAATAATTTGTCCGTACTTGATTAGCACTCATAAATATATATGGATTTTTAACACTCACGTACACACTCTTGGTTTCACTGTGTGCCTTCTTCCTATACGCTTGCGGATTTTACCAATCTTTAACAATAAACTATCCCTATAACTGTTGTTCAGGCTTTTGAATAATCTCGAGTAAATCCCTAATTCTACTAGGAGATTTAGTCTGCAATAAATACTCAGTTAACGGGATACTATTTACTGTAGTCAGATATAGAGTGAATTAGCCTCTACAGCTTATCCATCAGCTTACAAATTTCAGTGAATAACCATTCTTTAACAATTTTGTAATTAAGAGCTTTCTACTGAGACATTAAAAACGCTCTTTCTAACTTTTAATTGAAATACAGATTGGAAAATGTGTGGATCTGACGGTAGCTTCAGATTAGTTACTTTCTAAAATTAGAAATAATCTAGTCATCCCTACCTTGTGGTTGTAATACTAAATAATATTGATAAAACGTTTTCTAAATAAGTATGGACACATGATAATTATAATCTAACATAACACGTTGGTAACAGTCTTAGGTACGTTTTGTTAGTTCGAACTATTATAAAGTGGTTGGATTTTATAAGCTTGGGAAGTATCACTGTTTTCCCTATAACATTTGATTAATAAGTGATAAATATGAATGAAGTCCTAGTGACTACTTATAGTATGCAACAGAAAAACTGTTCACTCTTTGTAACATAAAGATTTATGTTTGAATTCTTGAATTTCATGAATATTTATCTGACAATATCAAATAACTTAGATTAACATATACCATCATTCAGTAGACATGTCATTTATTGCTTACAACGATTTTAACTATTAAAAAAAATTCTAAAGAGATTGTCCAAATAAAAATGAAAATATGTTTATCATATGATTTCAAATGTCAAGGAAAAGTCCGACAATTGTAGGAAGAAACTATTATGATTTAATACACCAACTGACCAAAAATATATTTCGTTTTCAAACTCACATCTGGTACTTTTGTCACTAAAACATAGTTCACCAAAAATACAGTAGATCTTCGAACAGTTGCTAAGTAAATAACATTGATATATTGTAATTTTTTGTCTTAGAAATTGAGATCATGCACACTAGACGAAAATAATTCAACCAAGCTGTTTGTTATACATTTCTTAAATATTTTATCATGTCAAGTACTCATAATGACATATAACACTGTTGTAATAAATAACTATTCATATTGATGATAAAACGTTGAATTTGGAAATATTTAATTATCAGAAGGGGTTTGTGGAGATTTTAAAAATTTCACAGATTGAAATCATGAGTCAACTGAAGCTAGACCACCATGGAAAACTTGGATGCGCACTGCTGAGGAGTCCCATACTAGGACGAAACGGCCATCCAGTGCTTCCAGTTTTTCCATGGTCGTCTAGCTTCAATTGACTCATGATTTCAATCTGTGAAACATTCAATTGTTATTCCTAATAATGTCTATGAATTTATCTGATTTTAACACATACTTCTATAGAATTATTAAGAGGTTTCTAGTTGACCTATTTCACATAGTGTACCTCAGTTGTATTACAATAAGTGGTGAACATCTAAGTACAATCATACATTATGTCTTGAGCTAGTCATATGATTTTATATTATTGGTATTTCTTTTTCTATCTAATATAAAACTGAATAAGATTGGTAAATAAATTGACATGTGACGTTCCACGGATCAATATTTTGCACTCTGACATATTTACTTTATTAATGGAATAATTGAGGCGATAGTTTGTGAGCAAGATAAATCGATGTTCTTTATTTATTTATTTTATGAAGATTATTCGTTAAACAGGGTGAAATTTTGTAACGGTAAACATTGAGGGATAACACTGATTTCAGGGTTTTATGAACACATATGGAATAATTGAAATCGAACTTAAAAACCCATTCAATTATACCTAAGAGTTAATAAAAGATATAAATTTCTTTTAATTGATAGTATAGATTCTTATTTCTTTTGGTCAATGATTTTTATAAATATGATGAGTAGCTAAATAAGTTACATGCTCAGTGGCATCTCTTCACAAAGTACTTGATTTCAAAAGAGGAAATGTACTTTATGTACTGAGGTTATTCATTTAATCATTTAGACTACTGAACAACCAATTCATACAGATACATTAAATTGATATTTATTGTTTTAAATTACTGAAGTTCTGTACCAGTCGCGTTTCAAACACTATTCTACAACTAATGTAATTTATAATCACTTTTTGTTGATGACTAAAGATAAAATCTTCCGAACGATGGTGTTACTTACCTTGGCGTACTAAATATAACGATTTAAAAAAAACAATGGTGGAAAATACCAGATGCCAGCTTAGTTATAGTAGAACATATCTCAAGAAATTGTCTCAAATTGTTAAGACTTATACTTAGATGTTAAACGCTACTGAAGTTTAGGGTCATGATTTCGTTTTACATCAATAAAACTAGTACACTAATAGATGCTAACAATGGGGAATATAAAATATGCCAATGGTTGGCTTTCAACATAATTTCGACTATCACAAAAATAAAATTTAGGACAGAATCCTAGAGGCTTTTTCTATAAATGTATCAACTGAGAAAGTTGTATCTACATAGTAATCAGCATATCACTCAATTACATATTTTATGTTCACTTAGTATTGTTTATTGGTATCTTCCCATTGATTATTAGGACTGCAATTGATCAATCTCCTATTGGAATACGTGCATCCTGCCTTAATATTGTCTAAGGTCACAAGCTTTATAAGCAATGATGGATAGTAGCTAGCAGTGGAATCCAGGACGTGCATTTCGTCCTGTTTGGGACTCGTCAGCTGGATGTATCTGCATCTCAGAGAGTTGATGTTCACGCAGTAGCTAATTGGATAACACAATGGCGTTTGGAGTGAACGGTACTGGGTTCGAGTTCCACAGTGAACATCAACTCGACGCAGGTACACCCAGCTAAGGACTCCCAAATAGGACGAAACATGCGTCCTGTGTTCCACTGCTAGCTACTATTCATCTTTGCTTACATATTTCATAGTTTAATTAAGATAAATCAATATAATAAAACTTCAATTAAGCTGGATAAAAAGTATGAAAATACTTCCGTAAACTATTAGTACTAATTAGAAATATCATTTATAAATTAAGTTCATCTGATGCTTATATAATTGTTGTTTTGTTTTTGGCATATGGATAATTAGAAGAGCTTCGATTCTAATAAATTATATTATCTGTCAATAATCCTCATTAGAATGAGTGGATTAAAACTATTTATTTTATTCACTGATATATCATGTACATATGTTTAACAGTACCAAGTAAAACAACAATTGTAATAAGAGCATTTTGATTTCCGAAGAAACAAAATGCAATTTTGAGTAGAATAAATAAGTTTACGAACTTTAGTGTAATTTACATTTTTAGAAACAAATCTTTTGAACTAAAATTAAAAAAACGATGCTGATACTTAAACTGTAATCAGTTTAATGATAATTCTTTAAGTCAAAGAAAAGTGATGTAGAGAGTCAATCAGAAGTAGCTATAGGTCAAGTGCATTTCATTGGGGTCAACTTCTTAAGAATAGGCTAGTATATATACAAGTGAGTTTTCGTGCATTTTATTCGGTAGTCCATTGCACTTTTTCACTCACTCTTGTGTTCTCACTGAAGTAGTCAGTTGGGGGTCAGCGCATAGCATACTGTGTATCAGTACCAGATTTCAAGCATCGTACGTCATAACAAAACGCTTAGTTAAAACGGCACATTTACGTTCTCTATTAACAAACTTTTTTGTACAACCAAATAACTAAAGTTGTTCACGATTTCAAAAATCATTTAGTGATATCAACAAATTCTAACAAGAGACATAATTGATTAAATTCATCAATATATTATAAAGGTGACTTATTCATTAATATGAATGAAATTTTAATAGTTGAATTCATGAATCAATTGAAGCTACATAACCATTGAAAACCTGGAAGCACTGGATGGCCGTTTCGTTCTAGTATGAGGATCCTCGACAGTGCGCATCCACGATCCCATTCGCGAGGTTCGAACCCAGAATATTCGGTCTCGCTCACAAATGCTTAACCTGTAGACCACTGAGCCGGCGTTCAACTGTTTTAAATGTCTAACTTGAACCGATCCCAGAAATTGCTCCACCATCCACCATTGTCTTCAGTGAGTTACTATATCACAACAGAACTTGTTGAACTTCAATGATCTTGGCTTCTCACTAGAACTTTACGAAATAACTCTTGGTTACCGTCACTAGTGAGGATATGATGATTATAATCAGGGAGACGTTTTGTGGATATTATAATAATTTTAATAGTTGAATTCATGAGTCATTTGAAGCTAAACTGATAGGTCCTGAGTTCGAATCTCGTGTGCCGGAATCGCGGATGCCCGCTGCCGAGGAGTCCAACAATAGGTCATAACGACCGTCCAGTGCTTTCAGGTTTTCCATGGTGGTCTAGTTTTAATCGACACATGAATTTAACTATTAAAATGACTATAATATCCAGAAAACCCCTCCCTGATTATGATATGAATGGAATGAGCAAATTTTTGTCAATATAAATCTAAAGATATTTCATGTATAGAAGAATTAAATTCATTTATCAACTTTTAAATAAAACTTTTTTCACTATTAATTACGAGAATAATGTGTATATTATGATTTCCTTTGATAAACATTTTGCATATACCTCCAAATCAAAGGAAATTATTCGAACAAATCTATATAACGAAACCCAATAAAGCCAACAACAACAAAAAGAATTTCATGTTAATAGTAGATTAGAAAAACAGTAAAAACTGACTCATGTTGCTAAGTTTGTGAAAGTTTTATTTATTGTACCAGCAGAATGGTAACAACAACAACAAGAACAACAACAAAAATATTGAAAGAAAAGAAAAACTTTTGAAACGTGATTAAAATGTTAATTTAACATTGAAAATTCAAATATTATTTCACTCTTCATTTGTTATCAATATGTCACGTTTTATGAATATTCTGAAGAATAGACTTAAATTTGTAACTAACGTAAGACATTTGAATAGGGTATGCAGTATTTGAAATCTACTCTCAACAGAATTATCATATATCGATGAAGTGGATTTGTTGTTATACTTACCGGCGATTATTTTAATATTTATATATACATTCATTAACTTGGCTTTAATATATACACTTCGTTATACATATATGAATAATTATATTTAATAGTTTATGGTGTGAATTCATGAGGTTAATTCATTCTTACAGATTACTTATAGTTCAATCTTAGTTTGGAATTTATTGTTGAACTTTGTGAAATTATGTAATCTATCTATAATGATTCTATTTTGTTTACTTGATACTACTTAGATAATTTACTGATTAAACAAAATGTATTAAAAAGATTTAATAAAATGTTCCAGGTTATACAATGAAATGAAAACAATTGGGACATTAGAGTTAGAATGTGTTCAAGTACTTTTACAATCGAGGGAAATGTATATCTTAAGATTTATGTAATAAATAGGTCACTATTGAATATTTGTAAAACGGTATTTATCATGACAACTACTCGTAATGATTCTTTTTTGTCTGTGCAATTAAACAATAATTATATTACATACTATGCCAGTTACACACATAGTCTGGTCAAAACCCTGCATACGGACATAAGAATACTTTACTTAGACTTTCTGGACAACACAACTAGGGTGTTATAAATAACTTTATATCGGACTATAGGGTCTGCGTAGGCATTTTACCAGATTGTCAAACTTTTCACCTCAGCTCAGATTGATATAGAGTTATCAGGATTGGGGTTGTGGAGATTGTTAAGTTTTTGATCGAGATCATGAACCGATTGATGTTAGATCACCACTGAAAACCTGGGAGCACTGGACGACCGGGTCGTTCTATTGTATGACTCCTCAGTAGTGCTCATCCAGGATCCCGCTCGCAGGACTCGAACCCGGAGCCCTCAGCCTTGTGTGCGAAGCCGGTATCAAACGGTATTAATGTCCTGCGAACAGGATCGTGGATGCGCACTGCTGAGCAGTCACACAATAGAACGACCCGGCCGTCCAGTGCTTCCAGGTTTTCAATGGTCATCTAACAACAATCGGTTCATGATGTCAATCAAAAACTAATATAGAGTTGTTCATATACTTTCAAATCCGTTGTTAACGGAACTCTCAAACCGTGATCTATTTTTCTTTGTTAGGTTGAAAATCTGGCCGTACCATTAATTCAATGGGAAAATCCTCATTTCAATTCACTATATCCTGATAAACCACCCAGTGTTCTTAATGCAGCTGACGGATTCACTTATATATCTGCATTTACTTTAGACTACTTGCGTATATTTCGTGCTTATATGCCAGATTGGAATGGAAATTTCAATTGGACAGGTGCATTGGTCACTGATAAAAATCCAACATTTATAGCAGGTGAGCTCCAGTAATAGATATCCATTTATTAATAAGCACAATTGATAATATAAACATTGAAAATTCAAATTCTTTGTTCAAAACTTTTGTTTCTAATGGCTGACGAAGATTTTGTTTCACTTTTTAAGACAGTTAGCGTCCTACGATAATGATCTATAAATAAATAAATCTACATTTTACATATGCTACTCTATTTAAAGAAACAACCCAATGGGCGCATTTTATAATTTGAGTTTTTTATGTCTGTCGTAAATTCAAGAGACAAATAAATCGTCGGAATGGCATTTAAGGATAAAACGAACACTCACTCTATATTCAAATGATATATCAGACGAAATAGCATACACACAGACTACAGAATGAACTGCTACCTTTTTTTACGTATATAAATAATGATGTTAAGTTATTTCACCAAGTGCATAGTTTAGTCAGTTTATCTGGTTGGATAACAAATACTTAAAAACTAAATGAATATATGTGTTAACTTGAAGTTAGCAACTAAACATTAAGGTATAATGTCAAGTAACATTGAATCTTTATTTACTGAATAGGAAGTTTTAGCAAGCATCTCTTTCTTAGATAATTTATACTTTAACTGACTGGTCTGCTTTCAATGTTTGAGTATATTTCACAGTTCTAGTTGTATTTTTTAAGGGATGCAATTATCTGACAGATTTAATCAATGTTATTAATAATAATCTCAGTTTTATCTAGTTTCTATGCCTACATTTCTAGTTGATGTGTTAAGGTTAATATTCGGCAAAACGTGATTCGCTAATTTCCAATTAAGTAAGAAGTTATAATCTTACACTGTACTATGAAATATTGAAATACTGGTAAGTAATATATATGGCTTATAACGTAATTTCAGGTACAATATGGTGTTTTTCTAATTTGATAGATAATGGTTTATTCCCTATAGAAAAAGAGTATTCTTGAGAAAAATATTTTATTCCACTATGAAATTCTATCTATAAAGAAGTTACTCTCAAAATTCATCCCATCTTGTAAAACTTTCACAATAGATTTAATCTTTAAATCATTATACCTTTACAGAAATTTCAATAGTGTAATAAGAAGACGAAGATTATCAGAGTTATGTGATATATTAGCACAATACATTTCGAACAATCTGATCACATATATTAGTTTATTATCCAAAGTAATAAGGTTTCAAATTGTTTTCACATTATTTTTTTATTATCCTTGTCTCCTCTACCCCCTCATTCCAAGTCTAGTTGGTCTTTTATTATTATTATTATTATTATTATTATTATTATTATTATTATTATTATTATTAATGGCTTTATTCAATATTATATTTTGGTATAATGTAGAATTCTCAGCACACGGTATTTCAACAAGTTACTTGCGCAAAAAAAGCAGTAACAAAGACAAAAAACCGAAAAACTGTACAACTTTTCAAATTAGAGACATGTTAAGAGTGCAGGTTATTGACTAGGTTAACTCTAACAACCTGTTCGTCACAGAGTACATTTGCTAGGTAAGGTATTATAGAACTTTTATACTTTTGCTTGCGTGCATGGATTTTAATGTAATTACGTCTCGTTCTTCCAGGAGATATACAAGGAGAAAGATAAGAGTGAAGGGGATGGTTAGTATCTGATAGGATAACACCTGCCAGGAGTTTGCATGACTTTAGATGTCTAACCAGAACCATATTAAGTATGACCTCGAAAGATTCACCACACATCTTGCTAACTGCCTTCAGCACTCTCCGCAATACAGCAAAGTCTTTTCTCAAAAGCCCGGGAAAGAATAATGGTGAACAGTAAAGAATAATAGGTAATATGCAAGAATTGACAAATTTTAAGAGTAAATGACGAGTAAATGCTCTTAACAAGTATATGTGTGATCAGATTGTTCGAAATGTATTACGCTCATATATCACATAGTTCTGATAATGTTCGTCTTGATTATTACAGTATCGAAACTTATTAAAGGGACTAATTACTTTAAATGTTTTTATAGGAATGACTATGGAAATGTATTACAAAAAAAAAAGAATCACTTCTGTTTTCCCTTGTAAATTCTAAAACTTACACTTTTTTCTTAACAATTTACAAGTGAATAGATTTTATTATCTTTCTAGAATTGTCAGTTCACTTTCATTAAATCGTATTATCAATTATGATTGTTACAATAATCTATCACCATTTTATAATGGAACATGAATTTTCTTTTCCCAAAGGAAAATTTAATTCATCATACATGATAATATTAACATTATGTAATAAATCTAGAAATGTTCTGTTTTTTTTCTTTTTTTGTTTTAATTCACAACGAATACGTTACATGAAAAATGAGTTTATCTGAATTAAATATTACTCAATTATAAATTATTATTATTATTAAAGACTGGAATTAGTTAGATAATATGAAATTGTTTATTATGAAATGAACTATAGTTTAAACACAATTGTTTAGTCTTTATCAAACATTCTTTTATGATCTTAAAGTCAATAAGTAGTTCTTCTTTGATTGCTATTAATTGCTTTTAGATAAGTAGCTGTATAATTAAAATTTGTCATGTTTTGGAAATTTATAACTTCATAAATGAACCATCAAGCTTTATTCATTAATTGTCAAAATAATACCACTTAAAGAGCAACTGTATATAAAAACACAGTTAAAATATTAAAATGTCAAACAGTTACTTAGTAATTTAGTAGTTGAATTCATGAATCAATTGAAGCTGCACAACCATTGAAAACCTGGAAGCACTGGATGGCCGTTTCGTTCTAGTATGAGGATCCTCAGCAGTGCGCATCCACGATCCCATTCGCGGGATTCGAACCCAGAATATTTGGTCTCGCTCACAAATGCTTAACCTGTAGACCACTGAGCCGGCGTTCAACTGTTTTAAATGTCTAACTTGAACCGATCCCAGAAATTGCTCCACCATCCACCATTGTCTTCAGTGAGTTACTATATCACAACAGAACTTGTTGAACTTCAATGATCTTGGCTTCTCACTAGAACTCCACGAAATATTGATAGATATTTATTTGGTTTTTTCGAACTGGAAATATAAGTTCATATTCGCATTGTTTTACAGTTTACAAAGGTATTTACTCGAATTTATATCAAATAAAGCTGATTCATCATTAAAATTAGACACTGAACTTCTCGTTTAAAAATCATTTCACACAGTGATATCCTTTATAAATTCTTTTATTTGGTAAATATCTAAGCAAAAATACGGATAAAGCTTTTCTTCAATTCTCAAAGACGAAATTAACTTTATATGTACGAAAGTGTACAAACAATTAATTATTCAAATGGAAATGATTCAGATGACAACCTGTCACATGATATAAATAGACTAGTAATCACAACTCCAAATATAAGCAGTGAAATATATTTCCGATAGTTTGAATAAAACAAAGGTAAAGTTGCTACATTAAGCCACGTGACAAAAATGGGAAAACCATCTAGTTTCTTATAAGTACGCATCTACTGTTACATTAGTACTTGGTGGACATAATGAAACAATTCATAGAATAAAGAAACCTTTTATAGGCGGTAAGGAGACATAATAGTTTCTTCTGTTGACAGCTATCGGAATATTTGGGTAATACAAAAACCCGTCACATTTAAATATGACACTGAAATGTATTCTTCGAGCTTGCTTTTGAAAGTACCATTTATGCCAAAAATTTTGTTATAATTTCAAAAAATTTACAGAATAGTGTATACTACTTCTTTTATTTATACATAATTCTAGAACCCGCGCAAATTTTATTAACTTTCGAAACAATTGATGAAATTTATTTCGTTCTTCGAGAACAACCAAATTCACAAATGTCAAGATGTGAAGAAAATGTGGGTAGTTCTATAAACCATTTATCTAAAGTTGAAAAATTAAAACGATTGCATCAGCCTTACTGTTTAACAAGTGTTGCACGTTTAGTAAGAGTTTGTAAAGGTGATCCAGGTGGTTTGCCATATATTAGCTCAAATCGTTTTGCTACATTTGCAAAAGCTGACTTAATATGTCCAGCTACAAATGAAAATGGTGGATATTTTAGCTATACACACATTTCAACAGCTTATTGGGATAATAATACACAATTACTTTACGCAACATTTACAACGGAAAAGTAAGTTTTACTTAAATTGTAATTATTGAGTTTTAAATACTAAAACTTTAGTATTTACACAAACTTTGATTGACAGTTGAAATAAACCCTGAGAAAATATGTATCAGGTTTTTTGTTGTTGTTGTGATAAATCATTTAAAATCTAAAATTACTTCACAATTATTTGACAACTAATATGAGATTTTGAATAATGCACAACAGTGGAATACTTTACGCTTGTTTTATTAACTAAATATACATTCATTTATGTAAATCCATAACATTATTTCTGTCTATAGTAATTTATCCACTAGACTAGTGACTTATGATAGACCACTGTTGTTCAACAAGCATCATATATTCATCATTGTTGAAAGGTTCCTTATTTAACTATTGTTAATAGTTTGAGATATATTTGATGTATCTATATAGATAGTCAATAATGGAAATATAATCAATCTATCAATTTGAATAATTTTAAATCACCTGTTCAGGGAATCCATATACTAACATTGCTTGATTAAACCAATCTTGAACGTAAATGTGAAAAGCCATTCAACTAAAAATTATGTAATTGTGATTCACAAACTTATTTCCATGATGAAATAAGTAATAATTTTAGTATGTTTAGTAAATCTTCATAACTTCTATCACATCATTAACTGTTCGTAAATGGTCTGATTAGCTACTGATAAAATTTAGGAAAATATAATGACATCAGAATATATCGTTTTTATTTTGTAAATATTTTCAATTAAGTATGAGCGATAGAGACATGGTAGGTGTCCAAGATAATCTGATCTAGACTGACTTATGAATCAGACCAAATTATACTATCAACTTAACAGTTTGTAATCTTTATTTAAAGACACATTGTCTCAAAATATCAGGGATTTTAACCGAATCTTTAGCAGATTTCTTCATTTGTACTTTAGTCAAAAATATGGATCATTATTGGTTAGAAACTATTTGTATGATATAATATGATACCATTCTATACACAAAAACTGAGGATTTTCCAGACATTTCGTTAAATAAACAATTACATATTTTGTAGAACTAATCACTGTTGAGTTTATGTTTTTTCTGAAGGGCGTATGACTTTCAGTCTGTACGAACTTAGTAGTAACACCTTTAATGAAGTCTTAGTTATTTATAACTAATAAAACTATGATATCGCATTATTATTGACGTAATGTGATTAAGACTAATGATTATGAAACATGAGATGAGTTGCCATTCGAATCTTACTAAGAACGTCAACTTCCTAACTATCTTAGATGATCTTTGCTTAATGTATACGAAGTGATGGAAAGTGAAGTCCAATTCTTCTTGTTGATTTCTCTAATCATTCAGTATCAGTCAATATTACTCTACATTTAAAGATATTATTCTTGTCACACTTAATGTAAACGAATTATATTTAGTTCCAAGTTATATGAATTAAATCTAAATATCTAGTTGTTGTTTAGCTAGATGACTGGCCCACCTTCTCATGCTGTTAAGATGCTCAAAACATTCAAACAGCATTCTACACCAAAGTATGGTAAGCGTAAACCAGTAGTTTTTAAAATTAGCTGGATTCTTTAATTAAAGTCAACTAACATTAAATATGATTCATTAATTTGATTGTAGATCAGCTCCAGTTGGAAGTGCTTTATGTATTTATAGTTTGAATGAACTTAAAGCTTCGTTCAATGGACCACTAGTTCGTACTAATGAAAAACAAAATGATTTAAAATCGTCTCCTGTATCAAATTCATTTTCAAATATTGTAAGTATTTTATTGCTTTTTCAGACTTTTCTATAAAGTGAGGACGTACACAATGTATTTAAGTATTTACATTTCAATTGACTTAGATAAAATAACATATCCTTAGGTATGAAATATTCCACATAACATATTTATATACTAGTTGCATATGAGTTAAGATCCAGCAAAATTTAAGTTTCTGAAATTGAAAGTATCGAAAAAAAAGAAAAATACACTTATGTTGATAATTCTAACATGCATTCCATGTCATACAACGAGGAACAGAACTACTGATATTTTACTGAAAGCACAAGTTCAATTACAATCTGTTGAATATTGAGAATTTCTCTAAACAGTGTTACCCACTCAATATTTACCACAGCTCCCACATACTTTTGTATATGTGCACAATATTGGAAGCCAATGTTAATGTATATTTAATTTTAGCTGATTTTTATTAAAGTTATTTAGATAATAATAATTTATATTCTGCTTTTGTCCTGTCTTTGGTTTGATTGAAATCGGTAAACACATTCCTTATATATATATAGTTAGTTATTTCAATGATCATCATGTGAAACGTAATTTAAAAGTACGCAAATTTATCCTTGAAATCGCTAGGATTACTGATGATACTTTCAACTTTTTTTAATAACATTAAATGAAAACATCAACTATAGACTTTCTATAGTCAGTGGCAGTTTAGAAGTAAATGAATATTCCTTAATTTGTACAGATGAAATAAAAAGTTATGAGTACTACTATTATGTCACTAATTCGAGGTTTATGAGTTTGAATAAGCTGTAAGTGTATAAATTATTCAGAGTAACAGTGAAACAAGTGTTTAAGACTCAAGCATTACATCAGTAAAGTTCATTTTCTGGACCCTTTTTACTTGCTTGATAAGAAGCAAACTAGTCTAATTTTACTTACATTTCTAAAGTAAAGATAAAAGCTAAGTTTATGATGCAATCATGGAAATGTTTTATTCAAATTTCAGTGCACAAGATTCAATTCCAAAAATAGAACTGAAGAAGAAGTAACAGTCGGACGACTTTTATCATTACGTTTCCCTTATCGTTATTTGCCAGTCAAACCACTACATGGTCATGCTTTATTGTCACAAACTGGTGATAAATGGGTGCATTTGCAGGCTTATAATTTGCCTTCAGTAACAAATTACTATCAAAGTGATGAACAGATCAAAACAAGTATCATATGGATTGGTACAAAGGAACACTTGATTCAATTCGTAGTATATGCTTACAACGATGTAATATCACCTACTGGAGAAACGTATTCAACAGATTACCAGTACAAAGCGATACCAATTATATGCAAACTCAAAGAGATTTTACTTGGACGTCAAATTGAAGCAATAATCCTTCAGTTACCGCCAGATAGATTGGATTCGAATGTTAACAAGGAGTTAGAAATACATATTGACACCATTTCGAATAAAAGGAATCTTTCCAAACGAATTGGGGACGTAAGCGTGGAATCAGTTAGAACGTCACAAGTAAATAGACTTTATGGTGAAGAGATAGTTGGTAAAGCAGAAAAAGAAGAAATTCGTCGTATCGAAATATCAGTAAGAATATTTTTTGATTATTGTCTTTCAAAATAATTTTTATACTTGTTGCGCGAGTTTCCAAATACCTATGTAGTGAAACTATATCTCGTGTTATCTGAACTTCGACAGTTTGTTCACAAAAATGCTGTAGCACCTACTAACGTTTTAAAAGGTTGATATTGTAGGTTGTAATGGAAATGAAATTGTCAGTTTGTGTTCTCTGTCATTTACCAAAAGGAAAAATAACCAACTGAAAAATAAGTCTTGTTTCTGCTAACACAAAGACGTCATATGTATAAATTTAAGCTGAAACCCATATTATTAATCCAAAAGTCTGTACATAAAATCATATCTGTGTCTCTATGGGTAGGATACGAAGAATAAAAGTGAATCCCTCTATGTCTTATTTGACTCCGACTGAGTATAATCTTTTTATATACAAAACTTTTATTGACTAATAAAATGATTTGGATTGTGTCTGACTTCATTTAAATTCTGCTTGACTAAACTTCCTTTTAACTAATGAGCACTAAAGGCGGCCTGCTTGAGCATCTGGGCTACCTGTTCCTGCCATCTAGATATTTCAACAAGTTATCTATTTTTGTTTGTTTTAATATATCATTATGTTTATTAATCGCATAACTTATTCTGCTGCGTTTCTGAAAAGTGTACGACCTTTCGTTGTCAAAGTTACAAAAAACTCAATAAGAGACAATGTGGTTGCTGGCAATATACAACGAAAAGAATGCACATTATTCAGATGTTCAATTACTGAACTACCAACATCTAACTGGCGATCACTCAATATTTATCGCCAGGACCGACCAAGAAGAAAGAAACGGAAACTTGTTGAAATACTTTGCGCTAAGAATCCCATATTGTACCAAAAATATAATATTGAATAAAGCTGATAATAATAGTAATAGTAGTATGAAACTAAAAAGCTGTAGATGTACGTTTTGTCCTAATTTAGAACTCTCTGACAACACCCACCTGTGAGACAGTAGTTTCTTGTTCTCATTCAAAGGTTGATCTTTCTCATTTTCTGGGTAGGTTCTCGAAAATTCTGATTTCCAAATATTTTAGATTTGTGGTATTCTGTTACAATTATTCGGAGTCACAAGTGGTTGAAGTTAGACACTAACATAATTTGATGCCAGCTCATTGATCTGAATGTAAGACGTTCACGCGTGAGATCAGATGTCCTGGGTCCCATTCCTGCTTGCAAAATCGTGAATACACACTCTTGAAGCGTCCCACATTAGAAGGAACGGTTATTCAGGCTTTTAATGGTGGTTTAGCTAAAAATAGTTTGTGTTTTAAGAAATAAAAATACTACCTTCTCCGCAAATCTCCTATACTAATAAAGGATATGTGTCTCTCATCCGAAATGGTTATTTCTGTCTCTCATAGCTATTCAATTTTCTCTTGTTTTTAATAGTTTTCTAAGTGTTGTTGATCCTAGATAAAGAGCGATCTGAAATCTAGCTAATCCATATAAGCAAGTGTAGCGTATAATATGATGTAGTTTAATAAACCATAATTACTGAACGGAGTAAACAAACTGACTGAATCAACTTGACAGTCTTCAAACCAAGATAGTCACCAAAATGTTTTTAACATAGAAAAATGTACTCCTTTACAATAATTCCCTTTTTATATTTAAATATATTAGTTTTATAATCATTTTAATCATATAAGCTGATTAACTTTTGGTAAGAATATTACATTGTTTATTTTATAGTTATAATTTTTGTTGTTGTGTTTACAAAGTTTGGGAAATGAATATTCTAACAACAGTAATCATACTATTGTCGCCATTTAAAATTTACTTTTACTATGTATTTACAGAATTTAGGAAAGTCATAAATCTATTTTGTACTATTCAAACCGATTTAAAAACTCATCGTTTCTACAAACTGGGAACACATTAAAATAATATCATGGTTTTCATATTTCACTTTGATGATACGACCACTGGATTAATAGAAATAGGCTACTTCTATTTATTTCTGTGTAAACAAATATTAAATCGCAACGTTTTACATAAATGATCTCAGAATACCTATGTGTTAGTACCGAGAATTCACTGTTTCTTCTTTCACAAGTAGATTTCTGCATTTAAATTCAAATAATTAAGAAAACTAGTAGATAATTAAACAATTGGTGTTGGGACAAAAACATTGGAAGATTTGTTCCTTTGAATTGATCTTTTTTGATGAATCTACTATTTATTTCATCAATTTCACAACAGTCGGATATGGAAGAAACGAAAGATTGTTTATTTTAATTTTCACTAAAAATACTTGATTAACGATTACCTAAAACATATAAAATATACCATTCGTCAATTTAATTTAATATTTGAATTCATGAGTCAACTAAAGCTAGACCACCATGAAAACCTGAAAGCACTGGACGGCCGTTTCGTTCTATTATGGGCCTCCTCAGCAGTGCGCATCCACGATCCCTCTCGCGAGATTTGAACCTAGAGCCTATCGGTCTCGTTAGCGAACACTCAACCTGTAGACCACTGAGCCATCATCCAAGTTTTAAATGTCTAACTTCAATCAATCTACGAAATTGCGCCACCATCCACCATTGTCTTTAGTGAGTTGCTATCTCACAACAGACCTGCTTGAACTCCACTGATCACGGTTTCTCACTAGGACTCTAGGAATTACCTCTTGAAGCCAGTCATTAGTGAGGACATGATAAGTATTATCAGAAGGTTTTGTAGAGATTTTACACCAATAGGTCCTGGGTTGAAATCTCGCGAGGCGGGGTCGTGAGTGTGCACTGCTGAGGAGGCTCATACTAGAACGAAATAGCCGTCCAATGCTTCCTGGTTTTCTATGGTTTTCTAGCCTTAATCGACTCATGAATTCAACTATTAAATTAATAAAATCTCTACAAAACCCCCTTCTGATAATAATCATTTATTTAAGATGAAAAATAATCCATGTATTTAATTTGTGATAATTTTGTCAATTTAAGTGAAAATAAAAATATTAAATTGATGTCGAAAATAAATGAGATTTTGACTACATGTAGCTCCCACTGTTCTAGTTACCTATATTCTTTGTTCATGTGATACATTGTTGTAAACAGTAACATTGGCATTACCACTGGTGGTCTACTATCATTCATTTTATTTCTATATTTTACTGAATTATGATTTTAAGTTAGTGATAGGAGACGGAAGTAGCACGACGGTTATTGTGTATGCTTAAATTAGCAAAAAAGGAAGATAATAGAGAGTTGGAAGTAGTCAACAGGAAACCCTGAATCTTGAATTTTTTGCTATTTAACACTCCTCAGAAAGACATACCTATAGTTTTAAAATGAAAAATGCTCTCTGGTAAATTCAACCAATCGTCACACAGTATCACAATATACGAAGTTAACACTGTATTATTTGAGGCTTCGTTAACCTCATGTAGAACTAAGATATTTACAATCGATTGTTCAATAAGTAGTGACCATTGTTATGTTTATTTAGTTCTTTAAGTGCTGATCAAATTCTATCTTTGTCGGGTCACTTAGACTAGCGAATGCATTGCATTTTTAACAATTAATCAGTATAAAAAAATTGGTACTTTTGATATTTCTTTAGTTATCTGACAGGGTAGATTTTCTTGCTTGTGAATTACTAAAAGTTAATTTAGAATTCGAATCCCACCAAGTTCATTCTCTAATGTCATTTATTACATTTGTACACGTATGTACAAATGCAATTCTTGAAAATTCATCACTTAGTTGTTTTTTTCTTTCCACTAATTCAGCAAATGAAATATGTTCTAGTGCATAATTGTATGTCCTTTTTAAAAATTATAGTCCCATTTTTTTCCATTATGTATTATATATTTAATAATATAACAATTTTAAACAAATCAATTATTAAAAAAAGTTAGCTTAAACATGAATATTGCGTCTTATTTTTAATGAAACAAAATATTATTAAGCGCCCGCGCGCAAGACTGATAGATCCTGAGTTCGAATCCCTCGAGGTGCGAGGTCATGCGTGCGCACTGCTGAGGAGTTACACAATAGGACGAAATGGCCGTCCAGTGCTTCCAGGTTGTCCATGGTGATCTAGCTTCAATCAAATCATGATCTCGACTATTGATATTATAAAAAACCCTTCCCATGGTATTAGAAATTAGTTTTGACTGAATTAAAATGAGAATTTAAGTGACATTTTTTTGTGAAAATTTGAATTAATATTCACCTCGTGTTTTACTTCTCTAAGAGATAATATATGCTATATGCATGCAAATCCGCCCCGTTATTGTTCCTATTATTGTTAAGAGATAATCAAAAGTTGAATAAACCTATTCCAAGCCGCAAATCTATCGTTTACGATCTTAGAAAATCTATGTGATATGAACAGTATTCCTTCATACTATTGACTACACTGATCAAGCTTATTTGAAGTGATTTAATATTAGTCCTTTTTATATTTATATGTATTCCATTGAGGTATGTCAGCTATAGTATCTTATGTAAAAATATAACTCAGTTTAATCTATATTTGGTCTAGATGACAAAATGTTACTGTTTTTGCTTGTTTAATTTTATTAACTTAATCTGTATTAAGAAACCAACTTGTAAACTATAATTAAATGATACAAAGTATAGTAAAACTGCTTGAGTCTTCACTTATTTCACCTGATATTCATTTGGTTTTTGAATATTTTACAGCTGATTTTAACTGCTTAAATAAACAAACAAATGTTTGAAATAACGTTTAGATTTGCTAGGTTAATAATTGATGGACAGGTTACCAATGCATGCCCATTTATACGCTCCAGGGTTATTCGACCAACTTCTATTAGTTATAGCCGCTTTTGTCATGAGTTTATTTTTCTGCAACACTAATTATTATTTGGCTAATAGTGTCTACGTGTACACCAATTATTGATTATTCTTAATTACATACTAATACTCCTTGTTGAGCATTGACCATCAACCAAGATCCTCCAACCAGCTCTGTTTTGGGCTCCCCTTCCAAGTTG